GGCGGTATGGAGGTGCTGAGTCAGCAAATTGGGGTGCAGGGGCTGTGTTTATTGGAGAAAGTATGCGGTCACACTGCACCCCGGCACCCACAGTCCCCCCCCTCACCCACCACCTGGACACCCACCCGAGGAGGATTGGGTGGCGGGTGGGTCCTGCTGCCTTCGCATCTGGCGTCCCGGCCTGGGCAGCCACATGGCGGTCATTCCTGGATGTTCTGCCCTATCCAGCCTCTCACAGCCGACACCCTGGTGTAGACACCCGGGAAGTGGGGCCGGCCACAGCCGTAGCCCCAGCTGGTGACCCCAGTTAGCACCCACCGGCCAGAGGGCTCCCTGCAGGCCAGGGGGCCCCCAGCATCACCCTGAGATGGGAGAGAGGAAACGGCGCTCAGAGAAGGCCAATGTCTCCCCCACAGCAGCGTTTGGGCCACGGGGGGCTGGCCTGACCCTTGCACCCCAGGTCACTGGCCACTACAGGGGTGACGTCAAGTGAATGACTTCCCCTGTGGGCCTCACTTTTATTATCTGGGAAACGGGTTCAGTGCTAGGATGATCCTTCATGCTGCTGTCGGGCCTTTGTGGAAACCCTCCACGGGGGTCTCCGAGTGGAACAGGGCCGCACCGCAGCCACTGCCAGCCTGCTGTCTGCAAGGCTCGGGGATAGGGTACGTGGGCTGGGAAGTGGCTTGTGGGTGCCCAGTAGACGGTTATGGAGTGAAAATTCCTCCAGAGCCAAAAAGGTGCCCTGCTTGGTCCCGCCTGAGCAGTGTGCACAAGAGGCTGGTGCCTGGCCCGTGAGCTGCGGGATCCCAGCCCTCCTCCGCCGCTGGGACGGTCCCGGGGCGCTCACCGAGCAGCTGTCCACGCCGCCCTGCGGGAAGCCGGCGCACAACATGCGGCTGCTGATCTGCACCGGGTAGAAGCGGCGGCACGTCTGCTCGCTGAGGAGGTGCACGGCCGCCTTCTGCAGCTGCCGCGCCATGGAGCCTGCGGGCGAGACAGGCCGGTGGGGCCGCGCGCTGGGGACCCGCCTGAGGATCCGCCCTGCATCCCCGGCGCGCCTACCTCCCTCGCGCACCGAGCCCCAGCCGGTGATGACGCAGCGCGCGCCGTCGGTGGCCCGTGGCGCTGGCTCGGGCAGGCAGATGGGCCGCACCAGGTGGCTGTGGCGCACGGGCCCGGCCAGCTCCAGCAGCGCCACGTCGTAGTCGAGCGTGTAGAGGTTGTAGAAGGGGTGCTTGTAGATGCGCGCCACGCGCTCCACGTGCCCCTCAGCGCTGCTCAGGAACGGCGTGCCCAGGAAGGCCGCCCACTGCTTGGGGTCTCCGTAGCTGCAGGGCGCAGGGACAGGCGTTGGCGGATGTACCGGGGCCCCACCCTCCTCGGGCTTCCCTGGGACCTTGGGCAGGGTTCTTGACCGCTCAGTCTGGGCTGCTCATCTAGAAATGCGCTAAGGCATCTGGGAGGGCGGGGGGAGGAATGCACCCAGTCTGGCCCCCAGACACTGAGGTGACACCAGGGGCTATATCCATGTTCACTAATATTAGTGCTCTGCAAGGGGACTCTGGTGGCCATGAGGGCCCCGCCCTGCCTGCCCACACCCTCTGACGCCGAGCCCCGGAAGGCATGGGGTGTGAACCCTGAACTTGGTGTCTGCTCTGCAGGGCCCCTGGCCCTCTCAGGCCCTGGGGAGGGGGTGCTGGAGCCAAGTCCCAGCAGGGAGGGCTGGGGAAGGAAGTGGCCCCATGGCCCCCGCAGCCTTGGCCAGGAGCTGGGAGAGGCTGCAGGTCCTGGGGGAGGTGGGAGCCCAGGGCTGGACCCTCCCCAGCCCCAGGCAGTGTGGGCAGGGCTGCGGGTGGCCAGAGGAGGGAACGGCCTGGGGCAGTGGGAGCTGTGTCCAGGGAGGACGTTCTGAAAAGGAGGGGAGGCACACTGAGCTTTCGGGCCACAGCGGGGTCCCAGGTGAACTGCAGAGATGGGCCAGTGGTGTCTGGGGGGGACTCACACGTCGAAGCAGTGCGCCGCCGACAGCAGCCACCTCTCCGCCACCAGCACGGCCCCACAGCGGTGCTCCCGGCGCCGCAGCCAGAGGCTCACCTGCCACGGCCATTCCCCGAGGCCTGCGGCACTGCCACCCACGATCCTGGTCATCGCTGCCACCGGCGCCAGGCCACAGTCTGCGGGGAGCCAGGCGAGTGGGCAGGCGGACCTAGGACGACTCCTCCATGCAGCCCATCAGGTGCTACCCCTCTGAGCATCCCCACATGCGAACCCTGAGGATGGACGGGGGGACCTGCCCCTGCAAAACTGCAGAAAAGGACATTGGCCTCGTGCTTGGTTCTACAAATGAGGCTCCTCCAGGATTTTTGAATCCATTTGTTTGTTTCTTGTGACCTCAGCTTTGGGGCTGTCCCTCCTTCCCTGCCGGGGGCCAGGCCAGGAAAGAGAGGAGGGGGCAGGTCCCTGCCAGCCCCGGTGTGCCCAAAGCCTCGTACCCCTGGGCAGACACCAGCCTCCTGGCACCATGTGGCTCTGGCACAAGACCAGGTGGCCTCAGAGAATCCCCCAGGAGCTACAGCCCCTATCCTCGGAAACACTTGCCACCTCCACGCAGAATCTGCCTCCGTTTTGGGGGCTTCACCTCTTTGGGGCCCCAGGTTAGGCACTCCCAGGCTGAGCTGTTGCAGAGTAAACATCACCTCAGTCTGGGAAGGTGAGAGCAGGGCCATCAGGTCGGGGGCCAGACCCGGTGAGGCCCGCTGCAAGGCTAACGAGAAACACCCCCTCCCGAGGACACGGCGCAGCTGCAAAGCGTCAAAGCCACCTTCTCTGTGCCGTCTCTTGCTTTCACCTGGCTGAGAAGCCAGACCGTCAGACACTGCAGTTAGACGTCGTATCAGTGCGAGGCGGGAAGAGAATGTGCCTCTGTCCCCCTGCCTGCTGCAGAGCTTCCCATGGGAGTTTCTGCACACGACGCCCCACGGCGTCCTGTGCTCATGGTTCCCAGGGAGACGGGACCAGGTCCCGTGTTGACTTTCTTTGCACAGGGGCCTCTTCTGTCCCCGAGCCCCGCAATCACCCCACTCTTCCTTTGTTCGGTGAACCCGGCGGTTCCTCTAGGATGCAAACTCTCTGCTCACAAAGGGCCAATCACCCCGACATCGTCAGCTATGGGCCTGGGCCTGTGCCCGATGGGGCTTTTGCCTTTGGCCTCCAAATACAGCCGTTCATATCGTTCTGATTAGTGTTCAATAAAAGTCAACTCAGCATCATAGCTGGGAGTGGAAAGATCGCAAAGGCACCTTCGCTGTCAGTATCTCCATCCCTCTGGGCCAGTTACTGCTGAGTCCCACTGGGCTCTGATTCAGGTAGGCGGCCCGGGCCTGCAGGCGTCCCCTTCCCAGCTACTCTGAAGCCCCTGCTCCTCCCAGCTTTGTCTAACCGGCTCCTCCCCAGGTCCTCCGGCCGTGTTGCCGGGGCTGGAGTGAGTGCAGTGGCATCAGCCTAGCTCACAGCAACCTCCAACTCCTGGGCTCCAGCGATCCTTCTGCCTCAGCCTCCCAATCAGCTGGGACTACAGGTGCCACCACCATGCCTGGATAATTTTTTTTGTATATATATATATATTTTTTTCAGTTGTCAGCTAATTTCTTTCTGTTTTTTTTAGTAGAGACGGGGGTCTCGCTCTTGCTCAGGCTGGTCTCGAACTCCTGAGCTTAAATGATCCTCCCGCCTCGGCCTCCCAGAGTGCTAGGATTACAGGCGTGAGCCACCGCGCCTGGCCGTGGGAGTGTGTGTTTCCCCAACCCTCACACCCCCCGCTGCAGCCCCGCAGGCGATATGAACAGGGGTGGAGTGAGTGGAGACCCTCCTCCCACCCCAGAGCCCCCAAACAGGAGACAGGGTCGAGGGACTGGGCGCCTGCACTAGACAAGGTGCGCCTGCCCAGCGTGCTTGTGTGCGTGACTCACGGGGCCCATTAGGGGCTGAACTGTGTCCCCCCAACATTCGTGTGTCAAAGTCCTAACCAGCCCCCAGAGCCTCAGAATGTGACTGTATTTGGAGACAGGGTCTTTAAAGAGGGGATTAAGGTAAAATGAGGTCCTTCGAGTCCTAATCCAGCAGGACTGGGATCCGGATGAGCAGGGGGATTAGGACACAGACACGCACAGAGGTACGACCGTGTGAGGACGCAGGGAGAAGGCGGCCGTCTGCAGCCAAGGACAGAGGCTTCAGGGGGAACCAGCCCTGAGGGCACCTTGACCTCAGACTTCTGCCTCCAGGACATGAGAGAATAAACGTCTTTTGATTAAGCTGCCTGGTCTCTGTCTGTTACAGAACTCACGCGAGACCCCTGCCACTCTCACGCGCCCCTCCATTTCTCACGGTACCTGGTAGCTGGGAGCGCGTGGTGGTCTCAGGGGCGTCTGGCAGTGGCGTCTGTCCCCAAGCAGTAGTGCTCATGGCGGATACAGTCGCATTGGCAGGTTGGCTGGTGGCCCCAGGGGTGGGTCTGTGGGTGGTGATGTCCGGGACTGTGAGGCCAGCTGTCGTGCTGGGGGGGTGGCTGCTGGTGACCGGTGTCCTCATGGTCAAGGGGGGAGACACGGGGACGGGGCGGGAGGACATGGTCTCCAGGATCCAGCCCTTCATCCTGGTGATCCGCGCGTACACACCGGGTTTCTTGGCCTGCGCACAGCCGATCCCCCAGCTCACGATCCCCGCCAGATAGAACACGCCAGGGGTCTCCTCGCAGGCCAGGGGGCCCCCGGAGTCACCCTAAAAAGGCAGGACCGAGCGCTGGTTGATCACCTGGGTTCCCTCTCCGTGGGTCCTTCCGAGTCCCCGCTAGTGGGCGAGACCCGACAGGAGACTGGGGAGGCCTGGCCGTGTGACCTCAAGCCAGTCACTTCTCTCTCAGCCTCCCTCGTTCTTCCTTCTGTTCTGGAGATGTGAAACAGTGTGGAAAACTCTAAAGAAAAAAATAACAGCCAGGGACAGGCCCACAGCCTGCCATTAACCACTGCTCCTTAGCTGCCAGTCACGGGTCTGTATGTGTCAAAGATTTGCACCGTAACATACAACTTTTCTTTAAAATTCTAGAATGTTACAAATAAAACATAGGCCATGTAGCAGGTTGTGTTTTTCTACATGTGGCCACGACAGCGTCTCACGTACAAGAAATGAGGCCCTGACACTCCTCCCATTGAGTGTGGGGAGGGTCTATGTTCCTCCCCTGGAACCTGGGTGGACCCCTGTGACTGCCTTCACCAACAGAGTGCAGGGGCAGGGATTTGACTTCCAAAGTTAGGTCCTAAAAACGCCATGTGTTTCCTCCGTGCTTCCCTGGGGCTACTGGCGCTTAGAAATCGGCCGCCATATTGTGAGGAAGCCCAACGACCCAGGCGGAGCCCGTGGAGAGGCTGTGTGCAGCGAGGAGCTGAGATCCTCCTGGAGCCAGCGCTGGGCGGCCAGGGGAGCTGCCTCCCCATAGTTCTGGCCACCAGCCACTGGGTCATCCCCAGCCTTTGAATCTTCCCAGGCAAGGCCTCATTGTGTGGCTTGAACAAGCCAGCCCCCCTGTGCCCCGCCTCAGTTCCCATCCCCGGAGATCTATGATCGGAATGAAACGGTGGTTTATTTACCACTAAGCTTTGGGATGTCGTGTGATGGCAGTAGGGACCGATACAGCCCTGTCACCTCCCCAGGGGTAAACAGTTTTGGGATTTTCTGTGTTTTCTTCTAGGCCTTTCCCCCCACTATGTGTTTACATTTACACTTTTAGAAAATATACATTGTTATTTTAAAATGTGTATAAAGATGTTACATGTAACATTTTGCTTGTTTTCAAGGTAACAAGCCAACCATTATGAATTGGCCATTGATGTATAGAATAAATAAATAGAATAATAGGTATTTTTATTGTTAGATATAAAGAATAAATATGATGAACATACAGGACAAAAACAGTCTATGCAAGGCACTGTTCCCACAGCAATCCTAGAAGATTGGTATTGTCAGGATCTCCACTTTACATATGAGGAGCAGAGGACCAGAGAGGTTGAGTAACTTGCCTGGGGTAACACAGCTAGTAAGAGTTTGAGCCAGGATTTAAACCCCAGAGTCTGGTTCCTTAAACTGGGCTGGTTAGTTAGACTCCCATTGCATTTCTTTTCTTTTCTCTTTGCTTTTAGAGACAGGTTTTGCCATGTTGCCCAGGCTGGTCACGAACTCTTGGGCTCAAGCGATCCTCCTGCCTCAGCCTCCCAAAGTGCTGGGATTGCAGGCGTGAGTGACTGTGCCCGGCCAACTTTTCAGTTAATATATACCATACATCTTTTAAAATCGGTATGTGTGTATTTTGTATAGATCTACCACATGCTTTTTAACTGCTGCCTCACCTCCTGTCTGGACACCGAATTCCTTTAACCAGTCTTCCATCAATGGACATCGACAGTGGACATTCCAGGTGTCCCCTCCTCAAACTCCGCTGCACTGAGAATTCTTTTACCCTGTCTTTGCATACTCTGAGCACCGCAGAAATCTAGACCCGGATGTAGGCTTGCCGGGGGAAGGGGCGTTTTCATTGCGTCAGAACACCGCCCGATTTCCCCCTTTGCGTGCTGACCTGGCAGGAGTCGACTTTGCCTTCCAGGAAGCCGGCGCAGAGCATGCGGTCCGTGAGGGAGAAGTTGTAGAGCGCGCTGCACGCCTTCTGGTCTAGGATGCCCACGGACGCCCTCTGCAGGAGCTCGGGCTTCGTAGCTGCCGGGAAATCAGAGCCCGAAAGGCCACTCACAGAGCTGTCACCAAACCACGTTCCGTTCAGCTGATAACACCCTGACAGTGAGGCCTGCCCCGTCTGACAGACGACGAGACAGAGGCTCACAGAGTAGCAGGAATCATCTAAACCCACAGGGGCGAGAGGCCAACCCCAGCTTCCCAACTTGCAGCCACTGTCCCCACGGGGTGACTTGTGGGAAGGCTATTCTGAGCTTTCAAAGGAAGTGTCAACTCTTGGGGTGGGGAGGGGTCTCTGCACGGCATAGCGTGAGGGGCAGCAAACTTTGTCTATGAGGGGCCACGAAGTACATATTTTCAGCGTTCTGGGCCAGACAGGTTCCATCACGACTGTGCAACTCTGCTGCTGTAGCAGGAAAGCAGCCACAGACAGCCGGTCAGTCAATGAGTGTGGTGTGTTCCAATAAAACTTTATTTACACAAATAGGCCATGGGCTGCATCGCACCCTCTGGTGTAAGGGAGGGGTGAGCGGTTTGCAGGACCAAAGGCAAAGGGATCTGCCGCAGAGGTCCCCACGTGGTCGGGCTGGTTCAGGGCCCAGCTCTAAAGCCTCCCTTCCGCTCGCGGGGCTCACCGTTTCCTTCCTGCGTGTTGCCCCACCCGGAGATCATGCACTTGCGGCCCACGGGGAACTTCTGGATGGCCAGGGGCAGGCAGACCGGCTGGATGTACTTGTTGAAGACCACGGGGCTGGCCAGCTCCAGGACGGCCAGGTCGAAGTCCAGGGTGCCCGGGTTGTACAGCGGGTGCAGCACCACCCTCTGCAGCCCGATATTCACCGGGCTTCCGCCCAGGCCCAGGAGGGACACCGTGCCCAGGTGGGCCCGCACTTGCTCCACCTTGGTGCTGGGGGACAGGGGCCCTCAGAAGTGCCACCTGCCACCCCAGGGGGCCAGGTGGGACTGCCCAGGCCAACAGCCACCCCTCAGACCCCAGGCTCCCAAGCTGGGGGACCTTGGGCATGCCAGGGAACCCGTGGGACTTCATCGTCTACATCTGTGACAAAAGTCCCCCCAGCTTTGTGGACCTTAAAGACAAATGCTGCCCGTTTATCAGGCAACAGTGGGAGCCTCCTCCACTCCCCAGTGAGGCCCCCTGGAGCCCGGGCACCAGCTCTCAGAGCCCCGTGCTTCTCCCTGGGGGCTCCTGCTGTCCGGGTTGCGATCAGACACTCAGACACCCTCCCGGAGAGCCCCGAGGGGAAGGGCTGCCCCTCCCGGGCCCACTCGGCCCACACTACAGGCGCGTCAGACAGAGCAGGTTTCCGATCACACCACACAAGGAGCGGGCGCCGGTCAGCCCTGCTGGGGGAGGCGGGCCTTACTGGTTGAAGCAGTGGGCGGCAGACAGCAGCCAGCGGTCCCCTACCACCGTGGCTCCGCAGAAGTGCCGGGAACCCTCCTTCAGGCTGACCTGCCAGGGCACCTCCCCGGACGCAGCTCCGAACCCGCCCACAATCCGCGTGGGCTTCTCCATCGCGGGTCTGGCCCCGCACTCTGTGAGGCGACAAGAGAGAAGGGTGCAGGTGTGTTGGCCGCTCAGAACTCCCTGGTCCTGGGCCCCAGAAGGGGTCTCTGGACGAGGGAATGAGGCTCCTGGCTCCAGCCGGGCCGGGGCAGGCGGAGAATCTGCCTGGATGTACAACCCGGGTGCAGAGCTTCAGAGAAGGGTCTTCTAGACAACGTATTGTATGTCTCTCTTAACTCTGTGGTCCCTGCGACCCAGGTCCACGCTGCAGTGAGACCTGCTGTTGCACCACGCGTCGTTTCAATTCCACCCACACCCCAGGCTGCCCCAAATCCAGTACCGAACTCTTCCCTCTGTGAGCCACTCCATGAGTGCTTCAAAGGACACCACCAAGAATGCGAAAAGAGGCCGGGCACGGTGGCTCACGCCTGTAATCCCAGTGCTTTGGGAGGCCAAGGTGGGAGGATCTCTTGAGCCCAGGAGTTGGAGGTTGCAGTGAGCTGTGATGATGCCACTGCACTCCAGCCTGGGCAACAAAGCAAGACCCCATCTCAAAAATAAATAAATAAATAAGTAAATAATATAAATCTGAGGATGGCCAATCCGTGAACTTCCTATATGTCCGAGCTCGTGGCAGACATCACTAATCAACCGTCTGTTAACTTCCTCTATGCCCGTGCTCGTGGCAGACATCACTGATCAATCACCAATCTCTTTCCCACTGAGTGCCTTGGAAAGCCAGTACCAACCAGTCTGGCCCTTATGGGGTGGATGTTACTCCTACTTGTCTGCCTGAAAAATACCTTGTGGCTTAGGGGTGATGACAGGGTCTCGAGGCACAGTGCTGGGGGCTGGCGTGGGTTTGGTGGGGGTGTCAACCACGGGGCTCTCGGGGCTGGTAGGCCAGGCAGCATCGGGGGTGACAGGGGCAGGAGCCGCCGTGGGGGCCAGAGGCAGGCTCGCCGTGGTGGTCGCTTCCAGGATCCAGTCCCGCAGCCTGGTGACGCGTGCGTAGACCCCCGGGCGCCGGGCTTCCGCACAGCCGATTCCCCAGCTCACGATGCCAGCCAGAAAGAACCTGCCAGAGGGCTCCTTGCAGACCAGGGGGCCTCCCGAGTCACCCTACGGAACAAGGCACAGCCTCGGGGTGGCCTGGGGCTCTCCGGCTGCAGCTGCTGGAACCCGCCTGAGTCCAGCCTGCCGTTCGCTCATGGCGACTGACAGCCCAGAGGCAAGAGACCCCAGGGTTCCCGCAGACCAACCAACCCTTTCCGCCTACAGCGGGGGAAACTGAGGCCCGGGCATGGACTGGCATCGTTCATACAAGAGGTGTGGCGTGGGTACCAGGCCGGCTGCTGGGTATGATGTCCCTGCCCCCACGCAGGTCCCGGATTAGAGGGGGATTTACACGGGGACCCCACCGTGGGCAGCCTTTGTGGCGCCTGGGGACTGTCGGAACGGCAGAGGGGAGAGGGCAGTCAGGTTACAACTTTTTTGAGATCATCAAGGCACCACCCGGAGCTCAGTCCCAACTGCTTTAAAATTTCCCTGGGGCTCACCTGGCAGGAGTCTACCTTCCCATCCAGGTAGCCGGCACACACCATCCTGTCCGTGAGCGAGGGGCCGTACAGGCCGGCGCACAGGGCCTGATCCAGCAGCTCCACGGTGGCTTTCTGCAGCACCTCGGGCTTGACCACTGCCCCAGCAAGGAGAGAAGAGTGGGGTGAGAGTGTTGGGGCCCCGGCAGCCGCCCTGAGCCAGGAGGCTGAGGAATGGCTCCTCTCTAAGCCTCAGTTTCCCCAGCTGCAAGCGTGGCTGCCAGCAGCACCTGGCTCAGAAACTAGCAAAAGGTAAACACCCCACAGATGCCCCCGATAACATATCAGGGAGTCTCAGCTGCCTCCTCCCAGGGCCTCAGACCCCAAACTCCAGGACAATCTTGATTCTGCTCTCTCTGCATCATTCTTCTTAACTCAACCCCCAAATACACCCAACCCCCGTCCATGTCTCTCTGCCTGGCCAGGCGGCTGTCGGTCCCAGCCTGGGTCATCACAGGCGGTTCTTACCCGCTTCTGCGGTTCCTCTGGTACTGCCCCCGAAGATCCTTTCCCAACACGGTGGCCAGTGCTACCCTTGCTGCATGTGGAGTCAGATCTCATCAACTCCAGCCCCAGGGCATGGGGGGCCTCTTTGCTATTCCTGCCACCCCAGGGCCTTTGCACCTGCTGTTCCTGCCGCCTGTAGTGCTTGTCCCCATAGAATCTGCCCCACTGCTTCCTCCATCTCCTCTCTCCAGGAGGCCACCCCTGACCTCCCTGTTTAAAACTGCAGCCCCCGCCTAACCCTAACCCTAACCCTAACCCCCGTCCCTGCCTGGTGCCCCAGCCGGGGAAGATGCTTACAGAAGTCCTCCTTGAGGTAGCCCCAGCCCGAGATCAGACACTTCTTGCCGGGTGGGAAGATGTGCGTGGCGGCCGGGAGGCACACGGGCTGGATGTCCCTGCCGAAGGGCAGGGGGTCACTCAGCTCCAGCACCGCCACGTCGAAGTCGGCCGTGTCCGGGTTGTAGAGCGGGTGCTTGACGATCCGGGCCACCCGGGCACGCACGGCGCTGGCCTCCGAGCCGCTGAGGTAGGTCGTGCCCACGTAGGCCACCCACTCCGTCGGGTCTTGGAACCTGCGGGGGCAAACCCCGGCTCAGAGGCCACCGGGCAGGACACTCACCTCGGGCAAAACATTTGTGGGGGGCGGTGCCAAAAATCTCAGTCGTCAGGATGAATCATATGGTGATGCAATATTTTGAAAAGCCGAAATGAATGCAAAAAATCCCCATGATGAATAAAATACTGAGCAAGTTTCATTAGTCGTCAGAGAGATGGCAGATCAAAGCCACCGCTTCACACCCGTCGGGATGGCGGTGCTCAGAAGAGAAAACGACAAGTGCTGACGAGGGCGTGGAGAAACTGGAGCCCCGCGCATTGCTGGTGAGGGCGTAGAACGGTGCGGCCGTTAGGGAAGACAGTCTGGTGTCTCCTCGAAAAAGTAAAGATGGAGTTACCACGCGACCCCGCAATTCCACTTCGGAGATCTGCCCCGAGGGAGCTGGGTGGATACTTGTGCATCCACGTTCGCCGCAGCACGATTCGAAACAGCCAAAGGCAGCAGCAGCCCGGGTGCCCATCGACAGAAGAATGGACACACACGACGTGGTCCATCCACACGTGGAACATCACTCAGCCATGAAAAGGGACGAGGCTCTGACACAGGCCACAGCGTGGATGGACCTTGGGGACATCGTGCTCAGTGAGAGACGCCAGACACAGAAGGACACATCCTGTGTGACTCCACTCACAGGAGGTCCCTAGAGTCGTCAGCTCCACAGAGACAGGAAGTAGAGTGGTGGGTGCCAGGGGCTGGGGAGAGGGTGGTGAGTGAGTGTTTCACGGGGACAGAGTTTCAGTTTGGGAAGATGAGAAAGTTCTGGAGGTGGAGGGTGGTGACGGTTGCCCAATAATGTGAATGTGCTTAATGCCACTGAACCATAATGGTTAAATGGTAAATTAAGTCACGTGTATTTTACCACAATTTAAAAAAAATTTTTTTAAAAGGAATGCATTCAGATTCCACAAAAAAGCAGAAAACAGAAAGCAAGGAAGAGAGAAAGAGAGAATGAGAAAGAAAAGAAAAAAAGAGCTCCAAAGGGCTCGTTCTGAGGAAACCCAGGAACTGTGGGGCCCCCAGCGTGCGAGAGAAAGTGCGGGAAGGGCAGAGGCATCGGGCTTGGCCCTGAGGCCGCAGGGACGCGGGCGCGAGGCCGGGCGCTCACTCGTTGAAGCAGTGGGCGGCAGACACCAGCCATCTGGCGCTGATGATGGTGGCCCCGCAGAAGTGCTCCTTGTTTTCTCGAAGGCTGACTTGCCAAGGGAACTCCCCCGGGGACGCTTCCATGCCTCCCACGATCCTGCCGGCTGTCCTCCAGGCGGGCTGCAAGCCACAGTCTGCAAGGTAGGAGGTCACCAACCAGGACCCCGAGAAGGCAGGCCCTGGGCCTGAGCTCCCCAGGACATCTGTCTCAGAGTCCCCAAGTTCAAAGAGAAGCTCAGGTGTCCCCCCACCACATTTGGCTTTTCTCCTTCAGGCTCTCCCTGTCCCTGGCACGCAGGTCAAACGCCCAAGGTCACATGCACCAGCTAGTGGCCGAGCAAGGTGTCCTTCCAGGGACCTTTTCTCCGCCCCGGCATGAAGGCCACGTGGCCTCTGCTCTGCCGCATCGCACGCGTCATACTGCGGACGACGACATGCTGGGCACAGGGTGGGAACTTCACAAACACGTCTGACTTGAATCCGGGCTGTACCGACTCATAAACCAGAGTCGAGTCCCTGCTTTCTCGCGTTTCTGCCTGCCCGATGGACAATTTCCTCCTCTTCCTCCTCACACCGAACCCTCCTCCTGACATCTCAAATTCCGCTACCATTGCCACTCGGTGCAGGCTAACTTAGCAGGCCTGGGTTGTCCAAACCCCGCACGTCTCAAAGAAAGGTCTGGTCCTTGACCAAGTCCCGGCAGGTGATCTCTAAGCCCTCAAAATATCTGGCCTGAAGACAGTGATTTTGTTTACCTGTGGGCTGGGGCCACTCCAGAGCATTTATGCTGACGATGAGACTTATGGTGGGAGCCTTGGCCGTATTGGCACCCAGAGGGGCTGCAGACTAAGTGTTGCGTGTTGAACTGTACCCCTGCCCCCCAAATCCTAACCCCCAGCACCTGCGAATGTGACTTTATTTGGAAATAGGGTCATGGGCCAAGATGAGTCGGTACAGGAGTAGCGTGGGCCCTGACCCAGTGGCTGCTGTCCTTACAGACAGAGAATATTTGGACGCACGCACGCACGCACACGGGGAGAAGGCTAACTGTGTCTTTTGCTCACGTTCTTCCCCATACCATGGACGCCTCTGCCCAGCTCTAGTAAATGCCAGGCCCACGTGCCCACGTGCACAGGGGGCAGAGCCCACAGCTGACCCTGCCAAGAGGACATGGCCCCGAGACCAGGCCGGACAGGCAGACTGACCACAGCGCGCCTCGTCGGATCCGTCGGAGCAGTCCATTCTGTCGTCGCACTCCGGGTTCGCTGTGGCCACGCACTGGCTGTTCCAGCAGGAAAAGGCGCTGCCTGGACAGTGGCCTGAAGACAGAGAAGAGCCCAGCTCCTGACCTCGCTCTGCCTTTCCTGGCCGCAGCGAGACCCCGCCCTCCACTTGGAACCCCCAGAGTCTGGCAAACGTCTCGTATCTGTTTACTCATCTCTGAATATCTCAGAATGTTTTTTCTTGCAATCAGTACAGACAGTAACAACACGAGAAGTCGGTCAGGGCCAAGGCCAGGACTGCGCATAAGGAAACGTACAGATTTTTCAGTAACCACATTTTTTACAAAGGAAGAGACAGTTTAAATTAAAATTTTAAAATTGTGGTAAAGCACGCATAACATAAAACACATCATCTTAACCAAAAAGATACGATCTTAGCCAAAGATGTGCGATGAGTATGTTTTGATCTGACAATTCAACTTCCAGGATTTTGTAATTGAGGATTTTTGTAAACTGATTTTTTTTTTTTGTTTTTTTTTTTTTTTTTGATAAACAAACCAAACATTATTGATTTGTTTTTGGACATTTCTTTTAACAACGGGCTTCCACCTCTTTAAAACAAAAATTAATGTTTTCTCATGACCATGAACAGCCGTGTACAATGCAAAGTGCCTCCTGATTAAATTCTTGGCTCGCACAGGACTGCGAATCTAACTCTTGCATAGGAAGCTGCAAAACCAGCATTTGCAACTTTCCGGAGGTTTCTGTTGCTTAGTTGAAAGAAGTCCTAGGAAACCTCTGCAGGTAATTGCAATCAGAGAAAACGACAGAGAGAAAGACATACCTGACTTTAAGTCTCTTTCTGCTAACGGCCCCCCCTGGCTTCCTGCAGCAAAACAGAGTAGACATAAGCTCATTCCACGAGAGTGAAATTCCTTGAAGACACCTAACTGCAGGCAGCTGGCGGGCTAAAGCAGAAAGCTGCACCGTCCGCCACGGAAGCCACTCAAATTCTGGCTCAAATCAGCAGCCACAGGGGGCTGGTGGCTTCCCACACAGGACAGTGCAGACGGCGAACATTTCCACCACCGCGGGAAGTTCTGTTAGCGCTGGAGCAGAGGCCACCAAGACCCCAGCCGCGTGGCGGGCATGGCAGGGAGGGACCCACAACTGTCCTGCACGGAGAGGCTAAAGTGATGAATCTTTGACCTAACAATGGTCTGCACTGGCGTCCGGCTCTCCGATCACAACCTGCTGCGCCGCACAACTTTAGAGCACAGCGGTGGCTCTTATTTCTACAGCAGTTGGCCAACTACAGCTGTGGGCCACATCTGGCCCTCTTGTCATTATCAATAAAGTTTTACCGGGGCCGGGCGTGGTGGCTCACGCCTTGTAATCCTAGCACTCTGGGAGGCCGAGGTGGGAGGATCGCTTGAGGTCAGGAGTTCGAGACCAGCCTGAGCAAGAGTGAGACCCCCCATCTCTACTAAAAACAGAAAGAAATTAGCCAGACAACTAAAAATATATAGAAAAAATTAGCCGGGCATGGTGGCACATGCCTGTAGTCCCAGCTACTCGGGAGGCTGAGGCAGGAGGATAGCTTGAGCCCTGGAGTTTGAGGTTGCTGTGAGCTAGGCTGACGCCACGGCACTCGAGCCCGGGCAACAGAGTGAGACTCTGTCTCAAACAAACAAAAAAAAAAGTTTTATAGGCACACAGCCACGCCCATTCTTTTATGTATTGCTGATGGCTGTTTTGGGGCTACAATACCAGTGTTGGTGGCTGTCACAGAAACCAAAGCCCCACAGAGATGAAGATAATTACACTCTGGTCTTTTACAGAAAGAGGTGGCCGACCCCTGGTCTATCCCATGGAGGGGGAAGAAACGTGGGTGTGCTTTCTTTTCACGGGAAGGGGTGATGATTGAGAACCTAAAATGGAATGCAACTTGCTGGGGCTCTCCTCCCGCGGAAGCCACCACCGGCCTCCTCCTGCTGGTCTGGAGGGACACTCACCCACGAGCTCGGCCGACACGATGGTGCCATAGGCCGCCAGGGGGATGTTGTGCTCCCGCAGCCTTGCCCGGACCCCCTGCTGCAGTAGCTCCTCCACCAGGGCCAGGCTCAGCGGCTGCAGGGCACGCAGCAGAAAGTGCAGCCGGAAATGCACCAGGAGACTGGAGTTCCTGTCCCTACAGGTAGGAGAAGAGGCCCTTGGAGAGGGAGGGGCTCCTTCCTGTTGGAATCATGTCTGAAATTTTCTGGAATCTTCCAGAATCTTCTGGAAGCTTCTGGAATCTCCCAGAATATCCCAGAACTAAGGTTCCTTCACCCAGTGGAGGCTCCAACTCACCTGTAACTCAGCACCGTGCAGCCCACGCACCTCGCCTCTAACTCTGTCTTCTGAAAGCTACTTACGAACTGCAACAGAAAGATCAACAAATGCTGAGCCGCGCAGCGCAGGCACCCGCCACCACGGAGGCCTGTCGTGCACCTGAGGGACCTGGAGAGGGGGTCCCATGGGAAAGCATCTCCTTCTACACTCAATAAATGCAGAGTTCACAGCGCCGTGTAAATGACAGGAAGGGGCATTTTGAAGTTATTCGCATAAAAATATTGCTCTGTCAACAGATGGATGGTTGAACGAAATCGGATGTGTCCACACTATGGGATGAGTTCCACTTCTGGGGACAGACCAAAAAGAAATGACAGCAGGATCGAAGAGACACTCGCACACCCGTGTTCATGACGCTGGATTCGCAACGGCCAAAGGCGGAAACAGCCCACGCGTCCATCAAGAAAAGAAAGGACACGCATGATGTGGTCCGTCCACACATGGAACGTCATGCAGCCAGGAAAAGCACGATGTCCTCAAGGTCCATCCACGCTATAGCCTGTGTCAGAGCCTCGTCCCTTTTCGTGGCTGAGTGATGTTCCACGTGTGGACGGACCACGTTGTGTTTGTTCATTTTTCATTGATGAATATTTGGGTTTCCACCTTTGGGCTATTGTGACTCACGCTACTGGGGACATTCGTGTAGAAGTGACTGTGTGGACATGTGTGTTCATTTCTCTTGCACAGATCCCTAGGAGGGGAATGTGAGTCGCGTGATAACTATGTTTATTTAGCCTTCCGAGAACCCACCAGCCTGTTTTACATGGCGACTGCGCCATTTTACACTCCCCCCGCTGTGTGACAGCTCTGATTTCCCCTCCAGAATAAAACGTAAAACCTCTACACGTGGCCTCCAAGTCCTGCAGGAGTCAGTTCCCTCCAGGTACAGCTCTACCCTGCGTGCACCAGCCCCGCCACCCGGCCTCCTCCTGCATGTGCCAGGGACCCGGCCACCCACTTTGCCTCCCGGAACCCTGGACGCAGGCCACCCTCACCAGCGCTTCCAGGGCGGGCGTCAGCGTGCGGTGATAGTCCGAGGCCTCCTGCTGCAAGCTGTTGGCCCAGCGGACGCCCTGCAGCTCGGCCGTGTGGTCCACGTGGACGCCCTGCGTGGAGAGGAAGGCTGGGGACGAGACCAGGCCCGTGAGAAAGCCCACCCGCGGGGGCTTGGCACTCCACTGAACCGGCCACCACAGGCCACCGCAGGCTTCTGCCTTCTCTGCACCTGCACAACCTGGGCAGGTCGCTCCTGACACACACAGGGTGGCTGGCGCCCCATGGTTGTCCTGAACAGCTATCCACAGCACACCCTTTGAACTCCCCAAAGCGTCCTGGTTTAGTGATAAATTCTACAGCCAGCCACCCAAAGGCCCCAGGTACAGCTGCCCCAGACGTCCCCAGGTTTTCCTGGGGAATAGGAATCGTCCAGCTCACGCTCATCTCCCCTGAAGTGTCCAGCCCAGGGCCTGAGCTGACTTCAGGACATCGTGGCTGGAATGAGCTCAGGAGACCCTTGGCCTAGCAAAGGGGACCCCCAATACCGCAGGGCTGTGAGCACAGCAAGGGGACATCGGGACCCTCGGGCCACAGCCCCTGGGGCCACCCTCCAAAAACACAATGGTTTCTAACCATCAGGGACATTGTGCCCAAAGTACACCATGGCAAAGAATGATCGTCATAAAACATTTCTAAATAAAGGCTGCGCCAGCGGCCACATAAACCGCAAAAGCACGCGTGCAGCTACTGAAAGTGTGCGCTGGCAAAAAAAAAAAAAAAAAAGATCGTGATTCCAAAGTACACCATGGCAAAGAATGATCGTCATAAAACATTTCTAAATAAAGGCTGCGCCAGCGGCCACATAAACTGCAAAAGCACGCGTGCAGCTACTGAAAGTGTGCGCTGGCAAAAAAAAAAAAAAAAAAGATCGTGATTACAAAATTTAAAAAATGAAAATAGCAACATCGTCAACCACGAAAGCCAGGTCCTAATTCCATTTATCCTAAATGGGTAGATATTCTAGATGGATATTTAGATGTTCGTTTATTCAACAGATAGAATAAATATTCCAAACCAACTCTAAAAACGGTATATTTTCATGTTCAAGAAACTATACAAAAATAAAGAAAAACAAGCACCCTGGCGTGGAGACTGAACTGCCCAGGCTGTGTCCCAACTCATTCCCTGCGTTTTACTTTGAAATAACCGTAGACTCCCAGGAAGCTGCGGAAATACTTCAGAGAGGTCCCCTGCACCCGTCGCCCAGCCTCTCCCGACATCTCCGACTAAAGTTTTGAGCTGTCTGGGAAGGGGCTGAATTTTCATTTTCATTAAATTTTTTTTTTAAATTTTAAGAGCTTCTGAAATACTTCCCGTGGTTTCAGGGGGTCCTGCTGGAGGTTATACACATCTGTTGTTCCCAACATGTATCTGTGTTTCTAGAATGCAGGTGTGAACCTCTGCTGCATTCCTGCCTCTCAGTAGTGCAAGGAAGCATCTGCACGTGCACACACACACACACACACACACACACGCACACACACATCCACACACGCACACGGAGCCCAAATTGTACTGTACTTGACACCCCGGGCCACTAGGGGCCCTCAGTCAAACATGTCAGGCTGTGGGATATTCCAGAAGTTCCACAAAAATTTTTTTAAAAATTAGGAGGACTTGGGGCGGGGGGGGGCAAGGGCAACATACGTAACCTAAACACCTGTACCCCCATAATATGCTGAAATAAAAAAAAATTAGGAGGACCCACGTAGGATTGCCAACTTACTGTTTTGCCACACAAGAGCATTTCCCCTTAAATTGTCAGTGACTACCATCGTGTCATGGAAGAAAGGCGATTTTAACATCCCCAAACAGGACTGCAGGAATCCTACCACTGCAGAGTGAGCCCATCCCAGATCTCTGCCGTCCGACAGAACACTCTGCAGCGATAGAACGTTCTAGAACGGCACTGTCCAACACCGCCACGCTCGGGGCGCTGGGCAGCTGGAATCTGGCCAGTGGGGCTGAGGAATTGAATTTTCGATGTGATTTTGTTTTACTAATGATTTAAATAGCTACACGGGCCAGGGGCTGCCGTCCCGCACAGCACTGCTGCAGACCGATGCCGGAGGAATATTCTAGAGAATCCTCACTGCCGCACTAATTGTGACGGCTAAATTTGGAAATCGCTCTGTGTCAAGAGGAATTCCTACGTTCTATATATTAACATTCAGAGGATGCTGAGACAAATAGTGGAATGAAAAAAGACAAGTTTCCGAAAAGTAGGTACATGCTCCCATTCAGGCAACGAGACCACGGAAAACAGTACTAAATACATTTTATGGAAACATATACATGTAGGTAAACGTATGTTTTAAAACCATTCATGGCCAGGAGCGGTGGCTCACACCTGTAATCCCAATACTTTGGGAGGCTGAGGCAGGCAGGAGGACTGCTTGGAGCCAGGAGTTTGACACCAGCCTGTGCAACATAGCCAGACCCCATTTCTACGAAAATAGAAAAATTAGCTGGGCATGGTGGCACCTGTAGTCCCAGCTACCTGGGAGGCTGAGGCAGGAGGATCGCTTCACAGAAAAGAATGGAACATAGGTTACCTTCATCTGTGATGAATGGTTATATATTTTTAAAAAATACAAATTTTTGAATGGGTGTCATTTGTGTACATGGTTCCAAACAATCAAACACTGGTAAAGTAAAGGGTGTATGGTGGAAAGTCTCCCTCCTGCATCTCTTGCTCAGTGCCCCGGCGCTGGTCCCAGAGGCAAGCAACGGACGAGACCCTGAAACTTCCAGAAAATATTTCTGCACATGGGCAAACAGTGGCACTATTCTGCACCCTCCCCTTTTTTAAACATAAGCATCTTATAGATCATTCTATTCAAATATGAAAGGGGCTACTTCTGTTTATTTATAAAAAGAAAACTGCAGCCCATACATGACAGAGCTGTCAAAACTCTGTGGGCTGTGATGTGTACTAACACGAATACGATGCTGGTGTGAAAAAAAACGAACAGGACATTTGAGCAATTGTGAATTTTGGGTGGTGGGAACATAAGCGACTGGTCCTTTTTAAATGCTTTTTAGTACTTTTCCAATTTCTTGAGATTTAAAGCGAGTTCGTTTCTCTGTCTCTATTTCCTTCCATCTCACCCCAGCTGTGAAAACTTCCTTCCATCGAGAAAACGGTGGGCAGTAACCCACCCACCTGCCCCGTCCCCGCCGAGGGTGACCCCTGCGTCCCAGGCTCCTGACGTAGCGTCAGCCTTCACTGCCGCGCCTGGACGCTCCACCCTTTGATTCTGAGATGGTCACAGAGACATCACGGACCCACTTCCGGGTGCCTTCGTGCAGGTCGTCTGGTTTTGCAAACCCAGCCAATCCCACTGCCACTTACCCAAAAGGACTCCCAGGGTGAGGACGACCGCAACGGTGGCCACCAGTCCGGTGACAGCCACTCGGCAGCACGCGGCGTCTGGGGCAGGGACTTCCTTGGTTGCCCGGGGCACGAGCTGCAAGTCAGCCACGGTGGGCTCCATGGCTCGGGGACACCCAGACAGCGACCTAGATGCCAGCAACACAGGGCAGAAACACAGGGTCAGAGCTTGCAGGTGTCTGTCTTCCCCCGAGCGAGGGTCGCAGCAGTCCCCTTTCTAGTGCTGCTAGAAAGAACGAGTTTCCTACAGCTGCTGTGACAAATGACCACAAAGGTAGTGGCTTAAAGGGACACAGATTTATCTTCTTACAGTTCTGGAAATAAGAAGTCCTGAAACCAAGGTGTGGCAGGGCCGGTCCCTCGTGGGGGTTCCAGGGCAGAACCTGCCTCCCGCCTTTCCCAGCGTCTAGTGGCCGCCGCGTCCCTCGGCTCCGGGCCCTTCCTGCCCCTTCAGAGCCAGCAGCACAGCATCTTCCAGTCTCTCTGCCTCCGACACTCCCGCCCCCTCGTGGGAGGACCCTGTGCTGACACTGGGCCCCCCGGGTCATCCAGGGTGACCTCCTGTCTCAACGTCCTTAACTCAATCCGATCTGCAGAGCCCCTTCTAACCCTAACCCTAAGCCTAACCCTAACCCAAGATCCAGAGATTAGGACGTGGACCTCTTCCGTGGCCGTTAGGCAGCCTCTCTGCATCCTTCAGCACTCGGGGAACTCACCACTCCCCTGACCCCCCCATTCCACCGTCTACATCAAAGCCCCTTTCCACAGACTCAGAGCTGCACGGCTGCACCGCTGGGTTTGAGCCTCTGTCGTGGCATAATTTGAATTTATCTGGGCCTCTCCCGCTGGGCTCAGGGCTGTGGGCCCCGCACAGCGCGGCCAGGCTGGAGGGACAGTGAGATGAATAGCGCTTCTATGTCCCATGCGAAGCAGCAGCAGAGTCCTTTCTGTGGGCTGGCGGTGGTGATGACAAGACACTTTAGATAGCACAGAGATCCTCAGAACCCCGGCGGGGTGGAGCTGGCAAAGACCGCCCGGCTGAATGGGCACAGTGTGTGTGTGTGTGTGTGTGTGTGTGTGTGTGTGTCCCTGAGCTCATGCACTAAATGCCACTTTGCAGCTCTAATCGTAGAAGTGAATCTTGCTGTCTTTTGTTCCTAAAACATTTCATCAAGTGATTCTCAGAGATTCCCTGGGTCCCCAGAAGGCGGCTCAGCTCAAGTGTGAGAAGAAAGCCCTGAGTGTTGTGCGGCCTGGTCCCCACGGCCCCCGCATCTCCCCTTTCCCGCTGGCTCCAGACAGCGGTGGCCAGGCGCGGGGTGGCCATTCACAGTAGGGACACACACCCCCCTGCGGAGGAGACGTCCTGGCCAGGCCCCAGCACAAAGCTGTCAGACTGAACAACAAACACACGACACACTCAGATACGTTTGCATTTCAGATAAACAACAACTTTTTTTTTCTGCTATAAATATTTCCCAAATATTGCCCGAGAGAGACATACTGGTATTAGTACTAAAATATATCCTAGGTGCAGGTTCTCCTGAGAAACAGGACCCAGCGGATGGCCACACACGCGCGCACACACACACACACACACACACATACACACACACAGAGATTGAGATTTATTTTTAGGAATTGGCTCACACAATTGTTGGGCAGGAGTGTGCAGGGCAGGCTGGAGCCCCACGGAAGACGAGATGCTGTGGCTTCAGTCCCTTGGCTGTCTAGAGGCAGAATTGCCTCTTGCAGGGGAGTGGCAATCTCATCTGACAACCTGAGCAAGACCGAGACCCCGTCTCTACTAAAAATAGCAAAATTAGCCAGGCATGCTTGTGGCACCTGTTGTCCCAGCTACTTGGGAGGCTGAGGCAGGAGGATCGCTTGAGCCCAGGAGTTGGAGGCTGCAGTGAGCTGTGATGACGCCACTGCACTCCAGCCTGGGTGACAGAGCAGCAAGACCCCATCTCTAAAAAAAAAAAAAAGAATAAGATGCTGAATTTTATGTTATGTGTGTTCTACCATAAGAAAGAAAGCAGGACAGAATTGAGAGGGGGAGAGGCACTGACATATTCTGGGGACTGCAATGTGAGAAGGAGAAACTGGCTGCCAATGACAATAAGCCCGAGAGCAGCAGGGACGACGGCCGCCCACTGTGGGATGCATTTGGCCTGTGTCCACACAGAAATATCCAGAATTCAGAGAGCCAGAAGCGGGTATCTATGAACAAACGAGGAAACTCAAGAGAAGGCAGCGCGAGGCGGCCGCGCACCTGAGACGACTCTGGCTCCCCAGGCTCCCGCGACAGCTGGGACGGACACGCACTGGTGCGTCTCTGCCCCGGCACAACCCCGCGGGCCCTCCTCGGAGGCCCCCGGAGAAACCGCATCCTGCAGTTGGCAGGCCCGGCAGGGAGAAATCAGGCTCCAGCATCTCCCTTTGAACCAAACGAATGTCAGAAAGAGTAGAGACTCTTCAGTCCAAAGACTGTGACCCTGTCTCTGGGCACCTTCCTAGAAAGGGCATTTTGCTTGGGTCTGATGGCCCCAGAATAAGGTCCCCAAAGACGTCCCCATCCTACTCCCTGGAACCTGTGCATGGTCCCTTCTCACATGGCAGAAGGGACTCAGCAGAGGGGACTGAGTTCCGGGCCCTAAGATGGGGAGAACATCCTGGGTTAGCCGGGGTCAGCCCTCGAGTCCTTGCCCGACCTTGGGACTGAGCCAGCCAAGTTCCAGGGAGAGGGGACGTGGTGCCGTCCGAGGACAGCGGTGGCCCCGCTGGGCCTGTCTGCTGCCTCTGCAGCGGTCTCAGCGGCCTTCACTTTTCTCCCCTCCTGGAAAAGGCATATTGAGGGAGGAGGGACCGGGCTGTGGCCAACTGCAAAGTCCTGGTCTAATGCAGAGAGCACGGGAGGTGCCAGCAAGGGTCCCGTGGCCCTGAGATCCAGTCACCAGAGAGCACCTGAGCCGACTGCTCCATGATGCTGGCTTCTGTGGCTTTATAGACGTGGTTGGTGGAATGATGGCCCCCAAGACGTCCACGTCCTGATCCCTGCAACCTGTGAATGTGGCACCTCACGTGGCAGAAGGGACTCTGCAGATGGACTGAGTTAAGGCCACTGAGATGGGAGGTTACCCTGGACGACCCAGGGGCCCGGTGTCAGCACAGGGTCCTCCCACGAGGAGGCAGGAGGGTCAGAGCTGCCCGTCCACGATGTCACGTCCTCATGGCCACATTCCGTGACACCCAGCAAAGTGGTTAAGCTCTCCAGGCCTTGGTTTCCCCAGCTTGTTGATCAGCTCTGTCCCTTCAGCCCTAATTTTCTATGGCATGTGTGGTGACAATGTCACTCTCGCCTTCCCAGCATCCCTTTCTTTGACAAAGGATCACCCCAATTTCTGGGTCCTTGGTGGGGTGGTCAATTGTGGTGCCCCACCCACCTGGCCACCAGGTCTGCCAGTCACAGTGCTCACCTCCTCTCTCCCCATCAACAATTGGTCCACACTGGACCCAGTCCTGCCAATCACAGCACCCACCCTTCTTTCATCCCCATCAGTGATTGGTCCACATTGGACCCAGACCAGCCAATCACAGCACCCATCCTTCCATCCCCATCACTGATTGGTCCACATTGGACCCAGACCAGCCAATTGCAGTAGCCACTCCTCCATCCCCATCAGTGACTGGTCCACACTGGACCCAGACTAGCCAATCACAGTACCTACCCCTCCATCCCCAGCAAAGATTGCTCCAAGAGGTTGTGCGTGACTCAAACAGGGCACCAATATCTTTGGGAACCTTAGGTTTCAACTGTATAAAATTGCCACTTTTAAGACCGAAAACTATAGACCAAGATCCGTGTCTTATGGTTGAACTAACAGAAGAGGGGGTACGAAGCTTTCTTTCCAGGAGCTCCTGCACGGCCACATGTGGGCCTAGGCCATGGCTGCCCTCCTGGCCGCCATCCTGAGGATGAGGTCAGCTCCCTGAAGGAGGTCCGGGAGCCATGGGGTGTGGGGCAGGCAGCTGGGAAGGGCCCCGCAGACACCCCAGGGTACCCCAGACCAGCTCCGCCCGGAGCCGGATCCCCCACCGACTCTGCTTGGTCACGGTCCAGGCTGAGGTTCTGTTTCCTACGAGATTAAGATTTATAGCTCGTGGACACACCGAAGCAGGCAGCAGGAACTTCTGCAAGGACAGGCACTAAATTAAAAAAACAAGTGGTGGTCAGGACATTAAGAAATTGGGCCGGGTGTGGTGGCTCACGCCTGTCATCCCAGCACTCTGGGAGGCTGAGGGGGGAGGATCACTTGAGGCCAGGAGTTCAAGACCAGCCTGAGCAAGAGCGAGACCCGTCTCTACTAAAAATAGAAAAATTAACCTGGTGTGGTGGCACCTGCAGTCCCAGCTACATTTTTCACAACATGGATCTTTCTAAATTGAAATAACCCAATCAAGATGTGAAGTCCATTTAGGGGTGCTTCAGTTCAGAGAGAGGCGAAGGGAGAGAAGGTTCTGGAACATCCTCCACACTGCTAATCTCAGACTACAGAATATCTCCTGGGCTTTGTTTTATTTTTTGCAAAGATTGGGGGGTGGGAGGGGATGAAATACAAAGGCTGAGTAGAGAGAGGGAAGATAGCCGATTAAACGAAATAAGAGTGGACGCGAGAAGGCGACTGCTGGCTCCCGGGGTGACCTCGAGGACAGAGAAAGCCCTTGACGAGATGAGGCGTCATTTAGTTTTTTGAGAGCAACAGAGGATACGTTACCAGCTGAGGTTGAGAGATATGTGAGAACACCCCAGACAAACCACAAAGATGAACATGTAGCTGGAAAGCAACAAGAACGATCTGTAAAACTTCCAGAAGCTTCCACACCGCGTGCCACGATACAGGGGAGAAAAAAGAAAGGTCTTTAGAACAAAAGCCCAGACAGAGCACACAAGACTAAATTGTGAATGATCCACACTGATGTCTCCAAATCCAGCCGGAGACTTAACCAGCCTCTGGCCCCACAGACGCCACCACCGAGGCACGCTCAGGCCCAGGTGGGCAGCGGGCTGACCCTCCTCCCAATGCAACTGCCATGGGTTGA